GCGGAGCAGGCAGGAAACTGCACACAAAGCAAGACTACAGCACTCAGGTCGGGTGGGGAGCATGGGGAGCCCTTAGGGCCAGGCAGCGAGCTGGCTTGAATGTGGAGAAAACAGCTGTTATAAAATATAAATGTATTTATTATTACACTGGGCCCATGCTATATAATTTTACACACTCATATTTGTGATTTACGGCTACAGCTCCATACGGAGGAGAAGCTTGCTAATTTACCCAAATTGATAGGGAGGCCTCTGAAGAGGCTCAATGGGAAGCAACCAGAAACTGAGAAGAAAATAGTCTCCTGAAACCCGCCCCCCCCCAAAAAAAAAAAATAATGTGGCTGCTATGTCAGAGGCATCCTTTGTTCATTTATTTTGATAAGCTGAGCTTCGCTTTAATTATTCATGATAATGCATGTTCTGGAAGCAGTGTCCCTCCCCTGTCCAGCAGCAAGCTGGGTGTTGGGTTCTCTGTGTAACAGACCTGCCCAGCATTTCTTGAAATTTGTCACGCTTCCACCTGTGGAAGGTGATGCATCTGAAGGTTCTGGAACACCTGCTGTCCCCTCCTGAGGGCTTATGTTGACTGACCTGCCATGGAGGAGAGCGGCCCAGTTCTATCAGCTGAGGTTTCTGGCACTCCCTCTACAGCATACAGATACTGCCCCATGTCGGTGCCCAGGCTCCCCCCAAGGTAGGTGGTGACTTAGGGAGGAGAAAAAAGGTGCCCATGGGTACTCTGCTAATAAGTGGCCAAGCTGACCCTAAAATCTGGGTCTGACTCTAAAGCCTGTTTTCTGTTGAAATTTCCTAGGTCAGAAGCCAGGAAGAGGCCTGGGAGCAAAGACTCCCCCACCCCCTCCACCACAGCCCACCCCCCTTGCTGTGCTTTCAGCCCAGCTCCTGGTCTTTGCAGCAGTTAGCCCCATGGCTCCCGACACTTTTCCAAAGTGTTTCTTGTCGTGGCAGCTTGTAGAGTTGCTTGCTCTGGGAGCTCCTGAGAAGGAAAGCACTTGGGTATCTGTGCTGACTTCCAAGTACCCAGAGCCTCCTTGAGTCATGCCCCTTGTAGGGGAGCTTCATGCAGGCAGGCTCCTGTGGCCCAGGAGAACTTGATAGATCTTTCTGCTTGGATGCATTATTACTGCAAGGTGAATGCTGGCTGGCCCACCCACTGTCTTCACTGCAGAACTCTGGGAGGCACCCCTGAAAGGCACCCTTTGGTGTCTCCCTTAATCAATTTTCATATCTTGTGGGCATCACTTTCTACTTTGTATTTGTCCACTTCTCTTTGGCTCTGCTGCCAGAGTTGGTGTCATTATGTTCTAGTCACTTTCTTCTTTCCCAGACTGTGGCAGAGTCTCCTAGGGGGTCACCCCATATCATTTCCATTCTGTTGTCTATACCCCATTTTGTAGCCAGATAGATGTTTTCAGAATTCAAATCTGATCATGTGATGCCTCCGCTTAAAAACTCAGAGTGGCTACCGTTGTTCTCAAGATACAGTTCAAATTCTTTTCTAAAAAATCTTTGGTAATGTTTTAAAATTGAAGTGACATTGGTTTACAATACTGTATGATTTAGGGATTCAGGTTCTCACCACTTTATTTTTCCCCCAAATTATGTTTGTTGAGCTAAAGTAGGTTTACATCTTTGTACCTCTTTCAGGGGTTATAGGTTCAAACCTCAACAAATGTGTACTTTCACACCCTGCCTGTCTCCTTCCACGTGACCCTCTGGGCTCCTTCCCTCCCCTACTCCCACCTGCCTGCCTCCCTCTCTGTCTGCCTGGGTTTTGCAGTCAGATGTTAAGAGTTTATTATTGGTTTGGTTTCAGCTAACCCTTTGTTACGTTTCTCTGCCTTCCGCATATATGTGAGACCATCCGGTATTGATCATTCTCCTGATTTATGTTGCATAGCATCATCCTTCCTAGCACTGTGCACTGGAACTGTAAAGTGAGCCACATGTATAAATTTACAACTTTTTAGCAGTTTCATTTAAAAAGTAATCACTTGTATTAATTTTAATACTCAGTATATTCAAATAACCTTTCAACATGTAATCAATATAAACAATTATCAATGAATTATTTTGCAGACTTATTTTCAAGTCTTTGAAATGAGATGTGTGTTTTACACTTCGAGCACATCTCGTTCAGAATGTTCGCATTCAAGTGCTGCGGAGCCTTGTGAAACTAGTGGCTATTTGAGTGGACAGGGCAGGTCTTGATGCTCTGTGTTCTGGCCCCTGCCTGATTCTGCAGCCCCCCATCCTGTGTGTCTTCCCTGGAGGACATCTACTGCAGATGCTCCTCTTACCCAGCTTCTGGACTGGCCGTAAGAGAGGATGTTCGCAGGAACCTAACCCCCTCACCCCTGCTATGGAGTTTGAGGAAACACTGCAACACTAAGCCATCTTCCTTCCCTTCTGCTCTGCAGGGCTTTCAGATCATCCACTGTATGAGTTAGGTGAGAGGCCCTTGCTTTGCTATGTGCCTTGGGGTTTTGCATTTTTGGTATATATAGAGCTGTGCAGATGACACAGATTTTTTTTTTTTTTTTTTTTTTGAGAAAGTAAAGGGAATGAAATGGAAAAATGCTGGTCAAGTTGATAGGCAGCATCATTTTCTTCTGAGATGATAACTGCCTCCCCCACACAGAGGTCCTGTGGTGAGTAGTACTGTTCTGTGAACAAGAGACAAGGCCTGCAATGGAGGAGCAAGTTAATTTGTATCTGTGGCTTTTAGTGGCAGTAGTTGACATCCCTTTGTTTATTCATTTTTCAGAAGTTAGAACTGCTATCCTGTGGGTGCATCTAAATGGTTCTGACATTCTTTCCAATTGAAAGATTTATCAGAACATATTTCCAAGGGGAATATAAACATTTATTCTATTTTAATTGTTGGCATTTAAATAAGAGGCAGAGTAAGATTGTGTTAAACATGTGAAGTCTGTAGGAGGACTCTGGAGGACTCTGGACCACCTGGGTCTAAATATTGACTTACCACTTACAAGTTAGAGAATTTAGTGAATGACTCAATTCTCTGACCCTCAGTTTCCCCACCCATAAATTGGGGGGAGATGATAGCATATATCTATAGGACTATCGAGAGGAATAAAGGGGAGAGTATGCATTTGTGTTTTGTGCTGCCCAGCACATGATGAACACTTGGTGAATATTAGCCAGCAGCTTATTTTCCAGGATTTGTACAATGCATCATTCATTGAGGATGAGTGGGCTTGGGCCACAAGGATGACCATTCAAAGTGTTTTCTCTGCAAAGGTGAGTTTATAGTCTGGTTTGTGCATAATGTTTTGTGTCTCTCTCAACATTTAGTCTTCACAACACATGTGTATCTATGTGAAAAAGGAAAACATATCATCTCGTTTGGCTTTGATTCTGCTGTCCATATATCCACTAGGCAAAATTATAGTTGGGGAGATAGGATACTTGGCGAGATATACATCATATTTTGTAGTACATGAGCTTTGAGCTGTTTTTCTCCATACGGTGTTGGGTTGTACTGTTTGGTGGAAATCCTTTGGTTTTCTAAACTGTGGCACATTGTCAGTTGGGCAGGTGGGATTTGGGGATGTTTTCTCTGATCATTAAATGAAAGACCAGCTCCAGAAGTCACTCTGTTCCTAACACTGTAGCACTGACCTCAAACCACCTGAGCTAGAATCAGGACTTGCAGGCCTTTTGTTCACCAGGAGGGTGAATCTGGATACAAGGTGTTGGTGCGCCACCTTGTAAAAGTAGGAATTTTGTACCCAGCCTGAGCTGTGCTTCATAGTACACAGGGCACTTGCACCAACATCATCTCCCATCATACACCAAGATAGTCGTTTGAGGTCAGCATCAATGAAGGAATTAATCCATGTTGCAGAGTTGGAAAATGAGATTCTTTGAGTATGCATATTTCCTAAGATAACACAATAAGTTGTGCAAACTAGGATTAGAATCATCTCCTGGTAGTTAGTCATGTGTGTGTATGTGTGTGTGTGTTTTCCACTAAACTGTATACTTGTACACAAGAGACATTATTTCCAGAACCTATGGTAACCTTTCCAAATAAAAGAAGTGAGAGTGATATACAAACTAATGTTTATGTAAGTGCAAATGAGGACATTTGGGCGTGTATGGTTTATAAACATTCAATGGTTTCTGTTACCCTCTGAATGAATAAGAATGCAAATGAAATTATTTGTGACAGAACCAAGCTAACAGAGGCTGAAAGAAGATGTAAGATTATTTTTCCTCTTTCACGTAAAAATCCAGAATCTCTGGCAGCTGTGGTCGGAGTTTTCCAAAGTTCTTCGGGTCCCCATGCCTAGGGTTCCTACCCATAAGGAATTACCAGGTTCATGCAATTCACCATGTCTTCCACAAGGCCTGCTTTCCAAGAACCTAGTTTTCATGCAGTGATTGTAAAGTGGGAAGGGGAGAGTGTCCCAACCTTTAAAAGTACAGCTTGAAATTGCACTTGTCACTTCCACTCACATCTCATCAGCTAGAACTTAGTCATATGTCAACATGTAACTGCAAAGGAGCTGGGAAATAGAGTCTTTATTCTGGGTGGCAATGAGCCCAACTAAAATGTGGGGTTTCTCTTATTACAGAAAAGGGGAGAATGAATATAGAAGGACAACTGGCAGTTGCTGCTATGCTCTTAGTCTTAAGAATAATTTCTTTTTAGCCTGTGATGCAGTCATTTTAACATGAGGCTGCAATTCTAAATGTGTAATATGGTAAAGAAAAATCCTAGCACATTCTATAGTTTGTGGCACATTGCAAAGTCAAAATAGCTGCCTGAGTACAGGTTGCTGTGGAATGGCAGAAGTTCTGAATGGATATTTAATTTACACTTTGCATTTTATGAGAACATTGCATTCTTGGAATCATATGAAGTGACAGGGACACTAATAACTTAAAAGAACAAGCACAGAGGGTCAAAGTAACCACATCTTAATATTCTTGTACTTTTCCCCCGTCAGAAGTGTGAAGTTGTGCGGCATGGGCATTTCGATTCCAGAATAAGTCTAGTAGATGAAGAAAAAGTATTTTGAGGTTAGCGGCCTATAGGCCTATAGGCTGGCAGATTGTGTGGGGGTGTTTTTACATATGTGGGTGTCATTATGTTTGTGCTGACTGCAAATGGGGGGAAGGGCTGTGTGTGTGTGTGTGTGTGTGTGTGTGTGTGTGTGTCTATGTAGATTCTACGGGTGGCTTTCATTGTTGTGTTTTCTTCCCAGTTACTTCCATCACAGAACAGCAGAATGACAAGGTAAGAATAGCTTACCAAACTTAAAAGGAAGGTTTACAGAAGGACTTGTCATACATGCTTATGTTCATTAGTCAAATTAATTTAGCCCCTGGCATGTCTCCTGCATTCTAAGTCTTGTAAATACTGAGGTGAATAAACCTGGTTACTGCCCTTGATGGTACCATTTGGTTTTGTGAGGCTACAGCATGTAAACAAATCACTCAAGCAACACAGTTAAGACTCTCCTGCAGGACGTTGTAGAGGCAGAGCAGAAGGGCACCCAACTGGACCAGAGTCGGTGGGGAATTGCTTCCTGGAGGGTGTGCTTTTTTATTTTATTTTATTTAGATGTAAATCTATTTTTGTGAAAATATTTATTTATTTATTCATTCATTCATTTATTTTAAGATTTATGGTGTACTTTTTAAAAGTCCTATTGCCACACACAAGCTAGGCTTTGAGAACACAAAGCATGCCCAGGTGGGCTCTGACCCCCAGGCCAGTTTTCGGAGGAGATACTTTGTCATCAAGGCCCCTCAGGGTCTAAATCTTAATGTCCCTCTAGCCCATCCCCGAAATTCCTCCTCATAGACTGAACTCAGCTCTGACAAACCAGTGTGCTGTCATATCTCTCTGAAATGCCCACTGCCCTCTTCCCAGCCATCTCTAGATTTCATCCAGGTTTAGTTCCCCTGGCACACCTGCCTGATGGTCCTCCAGAGTCTTAGGGATCGCCCCCTCCATAGACACAACACATGCACTTACCACATCAATCCATGTTGTTTGTGAGTGGTGGTGGGTGGAGGGATCCTGCCTGGGAGTTCCTCTCAGGCAGACACCCGTTCCTTTTCACTCTCATCTCCAGCAGTGTCATTGCTTGGAACATGTTAGAGCCAATAATTAATGTCGGTTGACTCCAACTTGTCACACTGAAGTGGCTGTATTTTCACTATCAGTGAACTAGACCAGAAGTCTTAAGTATTTGACTTTGCCTGCTCACCCGTGGACAGAGATGAGGTGTTTCAGAGATAATGCATGTTAAGGTTTATGAATCTGGAAGGTGAGGCGGTAACAAAGCTAATTTTTTGATTGGTCATTGATCTGTTCATTAGTAGGTGTCACATGAGTGTCTCTAATGTGCCTGAGCCTGTGCTAGACTCAGCCTGTGGGTGATGCCAGAGGCAAGTGAGCATCTTGTTTCATTGGTATTTATCGAATTGAAGGTATAAGATGTGCCAGTTTTAAAAGCATTTTGCATGTGCTTTGAGGGGAAAATAGGGCAAGGGATTGAGGCACAAACTGTCTATAGAAAATAGTATGTAAGTGGTCACAGAGGGAAAGTTAAGACCATGCTATAGCTTGCTGAGGAGAGACACTTGTGCTGGGAGAATAGGACACCCCAGTAACTGGGAGAGGCTGGAGAAGGCTACTTAGGGCTATTGGAGAGTGAGGGATTTCATGAGGAACAGTGGATAGATGAGGGTAGAGATGTAAGTGAGGTGGTTTTGTGTGTGAAGAGCAACTTCTCAGGTTGTTATTTGTCAAAATACGAAACTAAAATTTTTCCTTTCCTTGACTTACTCTTTTCTTAGAATTTATATACTTGGCTATGGTACATATTTGAGTTGCTGTTGCTAATGGGGAAATTCAATTTCTGAAAAAAAGTGTTTGATCATCTTGGAAGAGAGTTATGTAGACAAATTGATGTTTCAAATCTTGACTGATTTAATATTTGCTCTAGAATCTCTAGAGCACTGGATCTATATCTATTCCATATGAAAAGGACGGCCCAGCTCTCCCTGTATGTAAATTACCCAATTTGGGTTTCTTGAGCATTGATAAAATCACTTTTTTTTCTTTTTTAATTTTAGGGCAGATTGCCATATAAAATACTAGCACTTCTCTACCATCTGCACTTGTATAATCAAGAAATAACAATTAATATTAGCATTAACTTATTCAGAAAAAAATCCAGGATGCTGACACCAACTGTGTGAAAGTTTCAGAAATCAGATCTAAGTGGTTTGTGAGTCCCCGGCTCCTGTGAGTTTTCTACACCATGTGTCTATCTCTTTTCATACATACCCCATATAAGCAGATTGTTAACCCTGCATCCTAATAGTAAATGAATCTGGTTTATATTTTTTCATTTTTGTTCATGAAAAAGAAAAATTCGGTGTGTCTAGCACAATAGATTACACCCCATCAACTCTTGTGTGCCAGTGTGACTACCCACAGGACCAAGGGTCCTGAATGCAGCAAGGTGGCTTTAGACTCCCTCACGCACCTCTGCCGGGCCTCCACGCTGAGCCTGTTCCGTGACTTCTGGTACCCACTCCTCCTACACTGCCCTCAGCTCAACCCTGGTCTCCACTACTAGGTGTCAGGCAAGTCTACCCTCCCTCAAGACTGTGCTCCACAGGCATTCTTTTTCTGTTACCCACCAGGGAAGAAGAATAAGTTCCTTGCCGTACTCACTTGAATGTGCACACCTGAGTTGCCAGCTTCTGAAACCTGGCGAATTTGGGGGAGGGTTGCTGCTCTGTGCTGGTTTACTTTGGAAGGACACACTTCTGCACTAGAGGTAACTAGTGGCTTGGTGTCACTTTTGGATATTAACTTTGCGCTTGGAACATGTTAATCAGTTCTTACACCCTTAATGTGGAATTTTTAAAGGTGATTCAGAAATGAATAGTTTGGTTACTGTTGCAGTAATGGGCTACTTCAGCCTGTGTCCTCTGCAATCTGGCCATCTTTACAGTTAAATATAAAAAATTAAGATAGGTCATAAATTTAAAATTCATATTTTTAACAATCCAATTCAAACCTAAATACATCAATTTGAAATGTGGGAACCTGGTTTACAGATTAATATCTTTACTGCTAAATGGAAGAAATGTCCTACAAATTAGTTTCAAATAATTTCACATGATGTAGTTATCTTGCCAGGAAAAAGATGAATATTTTAACAACTCTTTCTTCAAATTCAGCTCTTAATTAACCTCATTGTAATTTTGCTAATCACCAAAATACACCTAAATTTCCCAATTGACATTAAACTTTCTTTGGATATATCTCTAGAATGTTGATTTAAAAAACTTTTAAAATTATTATCAATGACAACAACAAAAAGAATAAAAACAAGGTAAGGAAAAAAATGCAAGAAGTTGTGTCAGGGAAACATTTAGTTTCCCCAAAAGGTCTTAACTTACCTATGTCACAACTTGAGAATATATAGCTTGAAGTACAAGTCTTGAGATTTAAATTTTTTTTAAAGATTTATTTTATTATGCATACAAGAAATGGGGTACAGGCCAGAGGTGTGGGGAGTGAGAGGACTCACCAGAGACAGAGTGAGGAACAGAACTGGCAGATTGATGTAAGTACACTGCTGAAGGGAGCAGCTGGCGAGTCAGGAGAAGTCTGCTGCGCCATGTGGGTAGCTCCCTGGCTGGCCAGGGATCGAACGCGTGCTGCAGTGGCTGTGGACAGCTTCAAAAGTTGCATCTTAACCCCTTGTGCCACCAGGGAGGCCTGAGATTTAAATTTTTAAGTGAATTTACAGTCTTTGAAAATCACTAAAATATCTAAGAGTTATGGGATTTTGTTTTGTTGGGGGAGGAGAGTCGTTACACCCCCACAGTCTTCTGAAAAATAACAGAATGTTGTATCTATTTTTAATTAATTACAAGATCAGTTTGACTTTGGGAATCCTGTGATAGACCTTGGCTTATAGGAAACATGCTATGATATCGAAAAACACATGTCTTGGCATCACAAGTCGCATGTTGCAGAGATTCTAACTGCCAATAGCTGTACTTATTCCAGCATCAGGAGTGGTTGCCAGTTTTCATGACCAACACAGTCTTCCTCCAACATTTCATACAAATTCACTAAAAATCTAACATTTCACCTCCAAAGGAATGTTCTAGAAAAAGTTAATAGTCATGAAAAATGGAATATGGCCCCAAAGTATGCATGATCCTGTGTTTCCTGGCTAGGGCAGGGTGGGCCTGAGAAGTGACTCAGTGTGGCAATGACCAGGCTCCAGTTTAAGTCTCACGGAGAAGCCTGTGCCTTTGCCCTGCACACAGGCGACAGAGCCTGCTCTGGTCTCTCATTCATTTGGGCCTTTGAAATTGACCACTCACTATCAGGTGTAGGTTCACTGAATCTTCATAACTGCAGAGAGCAGGGCAGGATTTTTGTTCTTCATTTTTTTGTATGTGTCTTTCCCTTTCCCTCACAAAACAATAAGTCAGTAAGAAGGTAACTGACTGTACAAGGCTATTATGTGGCAAAGCCAGAACTAGAAGATTCTGTTTTTCTGATGACTAGTCCAATTTTCTCCCCCTGGAGCAATGATTCAAGTTTCATTGAAACGTATCTCCTCTAGGATGCTGCCCTAATGGTCCTGCAGAGTCTTAGGGACTCAGCCTTAATTGTTCGTTCTAATATCCACCGAACAGTGTTGTTGTAATTAATGTTGGCTGAATCTAATTTGTGACACCAAAGAGGCCGTATTTTCACCATCAGTGAATCAGACTAGAACTCTAAGTGCTTTACTTTGCTTGCAGAGATGAGGCGTTTTCCAGATTATGCACGTTAGGTTTTATGAATCTGGAGAGAAAAGGTAGTAATAAAATTTTTGAGACCAGCCATGGAGAAAGTTTAGGAAGGATAAGTCCTTATGCTTAAAGATTTCCACATGTATTTTAAAACAGTGCTGTCTAAAATAGAAATCTATACAGTCTATACATGTAATTTTAAATTCTGTAGTCAGCATATTTTTTAAAAGTAAAAAGACAAAATTAATTTTTGTAATATATCTAAACCAATACATCCAAAATGTTATTTTAACATAAAATCAATATAAAAAAAGTTGAGATAGAGTTTACATTCTTTTTTTTAGACTAAGTCTTTGAAAACCAATGTGTGTTTTATGCTAATAGTCTATCTAAATCCATAGGCTAAATTTTTCATGGTTAAAGTTAAATGTAGTTCTATCAGAATAAGAATATGAAATGTCCTTTATACTGTGCAGCTTTTTCATTTTAAATAAAATTAAAAGTTCAGCTCTTTAGTCACCTTAGCTCCATTGCTTTGCCCCAGGAGGCCCCCGTTGGACCGAACAGTGATCAGCAGTAGTGGGATCACATCAGAGATTTCTCATCTCTCCACAGTCACAAGGATGAGCCATGCTTCACCGAAGATATGGTTTCAATGTTAGAGTATAGATTTTTATACATACAAGAACTGGGGTGTAGGCCAGAGGTCTACACGTGGGGGGTGAAAGGATTCACTAGAGACAGAGTGGGGAGCAGAATAGGCAGATCTACTGAAATACACTGCTGAGGGGGAAATACACTACTGAAATAGACAACTGAAATACACTGCAGTGGGCAAGACAGGAGATGTCTGCTGCACCATGTGGATTAGCTCCCTGGCCAGGGATCAAACTCATGCTGCAGTGGCTGGCACTAGCTTGATAGTGCTGAAACTTTAACCCCTATGCCACCAGGCAGGCCCAGATTATAGACTATTAAACAATTGTTTCATCTAACCTAGCTCAATTACTATTTCATTATTTTCATTTTTTTTTTAAAAAAGGAGAAAGTGTTTATTTGTGAGTTGTTTAAAGTATTACTGCTTTTGTAATTCAGTAACTTAGTTTGTAGCACCTAGTCGGCTTTTGGGTGAGCTAGTAATGGATGAATGAAAAAGTCAACATGGAACATAAATAAATGAGTATACATTTTATTTGATGTAGTACTTGAAATTTTAGAAAATAATGACCTTATTTCATTTTTCTATCAATCACCTAATCTAAAATCCTTGAAAAATGAAAACAATTAAAATTCAGCTGGCATCTAAAAGAATCTCTGAGCCAATTTTCCAAAGCAGAGTTGATAACTTGAGTATTTTTTGGTTGTGTCACATATACCCTAAGAAGGGGTTGCCAAGCTTTGGAGTGATGTTTACTAGTTACTCTGTTACCAGTGTTAAGAAAGCTTAGTGACACTTTCTCTCTCAGTGTCTTTATTCCCCAGGTGACTTAAATTCTCTAGTGCTGCTGAGTGTGATGTGAAAGAAGTTGATGGATCTTTGCTGATTTCCTGGGGATGTACTTGGTGGCAATGTAAATCCATTACAAAGTATTCTTCCTCCTGTCCATTTTGCTTTTCCATTTCCTGATCTGTAAAATTTGAAGTTTCTAATCCAAAACCTCAGAGGTGTAGAACCTTGACGTGCCCAGATAATAGAACTCTAGTAACTACATTTATTTTTAAAATACAAAGTAATAGATAAAATTAGTTTTAACACAAATCTGGGCATGCCAAAGTTCTAGCTGGCTTCCTTAAAATTGGATTTGGAACTTGAAGTCAGGAAATGCAGAAAATTTACATTGAGTGATGTTTATTTACAGGGAACTCTTAAACCTTGAAGGCAAGAATCTGACACGTGTTCATATTTCATGCTACGAGCTATCTCTTAAAGGCCAATTTATAGTACAGTGCAATACCTTTGACATATCACTTACGCTCTCCCAAACACATCTTCAGTGAGAACCTTTACAAATGAACCCCATAAAATGACGCACTCGGTTTCCCAGAGGGGACGTTGCTCAGGAGACAGTGATCCCAGGCGAGAGATTAAGGTTAAAGCCAGATTTTGAGGATCCTCCTTTTTTTAGACTCAGGCTGATAAGGAAAAAGTGGAAGTGATCTCTGATGGTGAGGGAGCATTTAGTCTACTGTATATATCTACATTTTAGTTCCCGTCACAGAGGATGGCGAAGTTTAAAGGAGGCAAACATTTTCTGTTCTTCGGCTTGTTCAGTGCCTAGAAAGAAAGGAACAGAAATCACACAGGTTGTGCTCCCCTTCTGTGTGTATTTGGGTCTTTGCTGCAAATCAGGATGCTTTATTAGTTCAAGGTATTCCACAGGATTGAGCCAGGCCCTGCTTTAGAGTTGCCTGTATTACAGTGAGCAAAAAGGATGCTTGCATGATGCTTATGCTCTCAGTAGGGGAAGCAGATAATAATACAAACAAAACACTATCTAATTTCAAAGCAATTCAGTGAAACAAAGTGACAGAATCTGCTACTATTTAAAAGAGGATGGTGAGGGGAAGTCTCTCTGAGGAGGAGACATTTGAGCAGGGACCTGAATGAAGTGAGGGAGCCAGGACGTTGAGGCTGAGGGTGGAGCAAGTGCAAAGGCCCTGAGGTGGGAGCATGAAAGGTAGGACCTAGTGGATGGGGGTAAAAGATGAGGTTAGGAAGGTTAGCCAGGAGCCAGATCATGTAGCCCCTCTACTATCAGCCCTTATAGGCTTTTGACCTTTTCTTTGAGAGTGATAAGAAGCCCATTGGAGCAATTCTATTTTTAATTTCTTCTTATCCTTCATTGGATCATGAACTTCTTTGGCATTTTGGTGAAGCCTGTGGGACCCTTTGCAGAATGTTTTTAGATGCATGAAT